TTAATTGTGGAGAACAAAACATTCTGCAAGTCCTGTATCTATGTTCTTCTCCCCAACCCTTTTTATTCTGTGCATGTGGAGAACATAACATACTTATCACATACGCCTTCGCAGTATTTCTACATGAAAATGGTATTCAATATGTCAATATACAATACGAGCTGAGGAAGATTTAGTGTGTGTGTGTGTGTGTGTGTGTACATATACGAAATGTAAAATTCTCAAATTTTTAAGAAAATTCACCAATATGAAGATGATCACTAAGAAGAAATCCCTAAAACCCAATATTCAATTATAGTTGAAAATCGAAATTAAGCCAAAACGAAACCTTCACTACCCAAATTAAGCTAATAATCCACTAACCCAGCACAAGGTAAAATTACCTCTAGATGACTGCCATTGATTCAATGCAGAGAGAGCTTGAGCTGCTTCATATTGTTATGAAATTAGAGAGGGAAGAGTGAGAAATCATGAGAGGACGGAGGGCCAAATGCTGGAGTGAGAGATCGTGAGGAGGCGGGGGACAAAGTGAGATTGTGAGAAGGTGGAGTGCGAGAATAGGGCAGTGAGTCAACAGAGTAAGAGAGACTACTTAGTATGTCTTAGATAGGATTTACAAAATTACGAAACTAATCCTCTTCAATGGGTGATGATGGGCTTTGTGGGGTTACCCAAAACCACCTGTTAACAGTGGGTTACCACGAAACCAACTATTAAATAATGAGTTGATAACGGATTCACCTATTTTTAATTTGGACAATGATTGTCTGCCCTCCCACTTCCGGTGCCTTCCTGTTTGTGTGGTCACGGTTAAGCCACGTTAACATTTTATATTACTATTCATTTTTGTCTTATTATCTCTATAAAAAAACAATATAAAATGTTGACGTGGCTTAACCGTGACCACACAAAACAGGAGGGCACAGGAGAGCACCGGAAGTGAGAGGGCAGACAATCCTTGTCCTTTTAATTCAGCCTTTTAAGAATATTAGTTGGTTAGAAATTTTACGAGTAAATTGAGTCGTGTTAACGGGTTGAGTCTATTTTCCCAGCTCTATTGTCATCTAATTTTTGTTAAAGTTGATTGTAAATTAGTTGTCTAATTTTGTTCAATTTTTTTCACTCTTTATCTTCAGTTTCACTATTATAAATACAAACTAACAATCCCAATATTTCTATGAGCTTATTCTGAGTAGAACTTGCATATACCTGCCTAGGCAATTAGTCACCGTTTCAATTAATGCCTAGGCGTTTGAAAATTAAGAAAGGGCACCTAGACCTGTTGAGGTGCCCGCCTATATCGCCTAGGTACCCGCCTACCCCGCCCAAACTTGCCTAGGCACTCATCTCGGTTGCAACTCACTTAGACAAAATACAAAACTTTCAATTTGCATTTTATTTTTTTCAATAAATTGTAAGAGACTTGTTGAATACTTAAATGAACACACATAATATGCTTGTTCCCCATGTTTTCATTATGTTCCAATACTTCGTAATGTATATGTCATTCTATTTTGTAGTTTATAATAAAATTATATATATTTTAAGTATAGATACACACTTATTTACCCGAAATATAATACATTTACTTAAATCTGCCTAGTCCGCCTAGGTACTAGGCCCTAGTCCACCGCCCGACTAATGCCTAACTTCTTTTATAACCTTGATTTATAGAAGACTCAAAGAGTCATGAAAGACTTTGATTTTGACTTGGAGCATGTTAATTTATGGAACAATCCAAAGTCGTGAAAGAAAATATTGATTGGAAAAAAAAATTTTGTTCTTGTGGAAGAAAAATATTCTGCAGGTCCTGTATTTTTGTTCTTCTTTCCCAACCCTTTTCATTAGACCGTTAATTTACATGTTGAGTTGAAGATCTTTTCTACATTGCAAATTCTCTTGTACACAAATTTCTTAATGCCCAAGTCTGCCGAATTATAGAATCCAATTGAAACTCTAATTTCTCAGCATACACCTGGATAATCTCTGAGATTATCCCAACAAAGTCTCCAACTTGGATCTTCAAAAAATAACAAGTCAAAGTCGATAATTATTACAACACTACCAAAAACAATTCTGCGAATTTGTTAATTATAGTATGATTAGGTTTTGAATGGTTTGATGAGAAAGAGGGAAGCACATCATGCATATTAGTTTCTTTCTTTCTAAAGTAGACCATACATATAGTCTGCTGAAAGTGCGACACTACCAGTCTACCACTATGAGTTTTAATTGAAAGGAGAACCAAAATAACATGTTTAAGTGAAGGTGTAATGTTTTCTTCGAAACCAACATAGAGGTTGATGTGGGGTGCAAAGCGTCAAGTGTGAGGGTAGTATTGGAAAATAAGTGAAGTATTTTATAATAAATTGTAAGTTAAAAAGTAAGTATATAGTGTATCAATAGAGTGTATTAAGTAAGTGAGGTATAATCAACAATATATATGGTATGTTTGAGCTTTCCTAGCTTGGGAACCCCTCGGCCACGCACACCTCTGCTGATGTCCTTCTACATTGCTTTGGCATTTAGCATATCTTATCGCACTTGCTTTTGTCCCTTTTTTACTGCAGTTGCTCGTGAAAAACTAATGAAAACAGTAACAAATCTTCATGGACAAATTGTAGAGAAAGACAACAGGCACACAAAAGGAAAGGAACACACAAGCATGAAATAAAAATGTTAATTTGACTTCAATTCTGTTGCTCTTATTTTTTCCTCTAAAATAGTACAAGCTTTTTATTTATTTATTTATTTTTTCCTTTTTAATACAAAATGTTAATGTTGATGATAGAAGTTGACTACATGTTAATGTATGTGTGTTAATTTGCTCCCCTATTTTTGACTTGGACAAGAAGATTTGGATAACAATTTGGACAGAGAGTTAGTTAGAGGTGATAAGGATTATTGATCAACAGATTTAATTGATAGATTACAAGTTAACTAACAAGCTTGTAGTCAGATTTTCTAGATACAATAGCTTATAAGTTTGACATTAACAAAACTTTGTGAGTTTATTGTTAATAGTGAATTGATAAGAGCGTGCAGTGATGTTGAACGCACTGCGCTACATTCATATAAAAACAGCAGTGCTTTTCTTTTTGTGTAAAAGAAATTGAGGGATTTTTTTTTTTTATCATTTAGCGGTAAAAAAAAGCTCTAACGGTCCAAAATTAAATTCAATGGCTAAAAAATTTAAAAGAAATTATTTAAATCAAAATTCACCAAAAAACTCTATAAATACCTGTATTTGTTCAAACATCCACCCAAAATTCACTTTTCTCATACAATTCTTCCATTTTTTTTCTACCCACTTCCAAAATTTTCAAGATGACAAAAGATCATATTAGAGGGAGGATCCTTACAAGATGGCATTCAATTTTGATGTAATGAGGGAGGACCCCAACAAATACACTTCAAATAGGAAGAAATTATTCCGTGACAAGCAAGCGGAAATTATAAGAAGGAATGCCGCAAGGAAAATCTTTGAGAATGATGATCCATCTAATGTCTATTACCCAAGTCCATCACAAAATCCACTACAAAGTCAAGGACCAAGTCAACCAAACGTTGATGAATATTATTGGTATTAGTAATTTTTGTAATTCTTATGTAGTATTTTACTTATTGTTTATTAATCTTTATTTAGTGTTTTAATTATTGTTTGTATTAGTAATTGTTGTAAGATTGAAGCATACTATATAGAACTATTTCAAGTTTCAAAGTTTTAATCTTTATCTTTATAAAAATGTAATTATTGTTCCATGACTTTCATGTTTCAAGGGAAAGGTTTAGTGAGTTTTCATTTTATCGGAATTTAAATATTTTTAAGTTAAAATGTTCATAAAAATAAATCAGGATAATTTACATAAATTTTACTTTTAAAAAAAGTTATCGACAAAAAATTAGGCTAAAATCATTCTTTAATAATCTCGGCCTAAAATTTTAAGCCAAAATTTTTGGGGGATAAAAGTTATTTTTGAGTTAAAACCTAAATTTTTTTTATACAACACAATCATGAAGGTAGACTTGGGGCTAGTTTGGGGTTGTTGTACCTTTTTTTTTTCAAAACTGTTTCTGCTGTGCTGTGAGAATAAACAGCTGTGAGAGAAGCAAGTAAGTGTAATGGTAAACTATAGTGCTAAAAGTGCTTTTAGAAAAAAAAAAAAAAAAAAGATGGGGTAGGATTGTCAATATGAAAGTTTCATCAATTGGTATTTGTTCATTTGCCTCCATTGAAAAAAAAAAAGATGAATTTTTGAGAAGCATGTGTAGAGTTGCTTCTGTTTTCAGCTATTTTAGACCTATGATTTGGGGAATTTTTTTTTTTTTTAAAAATTTACCAAACACAATTAAGGACCCAACTCTTTTAAGAAAGCTGCTTTTAAAAAATTTAAGCAACCCCAAACTAGCCATAATTAAGTTTTCAAAATTATTAATGCTCGTAAAAGTTGAACATAATACCTTTTATTTATAAATAAAGAGATAAGTATCACTACACAATACATGTTACAATTTGTTCTTAATAATCTTTAGATGATTGCCCCAAAGAGATAAAACATAAAGTCCACTAGCATTTCCCAAAATTTCTTTTATTTGATAAGTTTGAACTTATGCCACCAAACGGAATAACTTTAATGAGAAAAAAAAAAAAAAGACAAAAGAAATAAATGAGATGTGAATAAGAGGGCATGGTTGAGATAGTGATATTTCAGAATAAAGATTGATAATTACACGCACTTGGGACTAAGTACATTGTATATTATATATGGAAACAACTGTTAGAAGGAGTGGGGTGGGCCCCATAAAACAATTACACGCATATGGGAGAAAGACTTTGACTTATCTTGTACGTACGACACAATTTTCAAGTCCTGTATCTTTCTTCTCTCCCAACCCCTTTTTCCGTGCGGTTGAATTAATTACAATAGCTCATGAATGCCATTATAAATAAGCCCTACAAGTAGATTCTAATATGTACACAAAATTAAACACTAGTGGCCATGACATCTTTAGATTTTCATAAACTATGCCCTTTGGCTTATTGCCTTGTCTTATTCATACAACTTTGTTCATCGCCAAGTTACTCTACTTTTTCTTCTGCTACTTCTACTACTGAAGTAGAAGCGCTTCTCAAATGGAAAGCCACCTTTCAAAACCATACCCACCTGCAAAATCTCACCTCGTGGGCTTACCTACCCGCTCATACAAAAGTAGCCCCATGCTTCTGGATTGGTATTTCATGCAATGTTGTTGGAAGTGTTAGTGTGATAAACCTTACTAATTTCAGGATACAAGGTACGCTACATGAGTTTTCATTCTTGTCTTTCCCCAATCTTCAATGCCTTGATCTTAGCTACAATAATATCTTTGATGTCATTCCAGCTCAGATCAGTTCCCTCTCTAAACTCATCTATCTTGATCTTTCTAACAATTTGCTCAATGGTTCAATTCCAACATCCCTCGGTGATCTCACAAACATTACCTTTCTCTATCTCCACCATAATAATCTTTCTAGCACAATTCCAAAAGTGATAGGGAAGTTGAAATCTCTTGCGACCCTAGAATTGTCTTATAACCAGCTCAACGGTTCAATCCCAACATCTCTAGGTCAGCTCACAAACCTTTCCACTCTCTATCTCTACACTAATAATCTTTCTGGCACTATTCCTAAATAGATAAGGAACTTGAAATCCCTTGTGGACCTAGATTTGTCTGAGAATCAGCTCACCGGTTCAATCCCAACTTCCTTAGGTCAACTCACAAAACTTGCCTATGTCCATCTCTTCACTAATAATCTTTCTGGCACTATTCCTAAAGAGATAGGGAAATTGAAATCTCTTGTGGACCTAGATTTGTCTAAGAATCAGCTCAATGGTTCAATCCCAATATCCATTGGTGTTCTCACAAAACTTACCTCTATCAATCTCTTCACTAATAATCTTTCTGGCACTATTCCGAAAGAGATTGGGAAATTGAAATCTCTTGTGGGGCTCAGTTTGTTCAAGAATCAGCTCAGCGGTTCAATCCCAACATCCTTAGGTTAACTCACAAACCTTTCCACTCTCTATCTCTACACTAATAATCTTTCTGGCACTATTCCTAAAGAGATAGGGAACTTAAAATTCCTTGTGGACTTAGATTTGTCTGAGAATCAGCTTACTGGTTCAATCCCAACAATCCTTGGTCAACTCACAAAACTTACCTATGTCTATCTCTTCACTAATAATCTTTCTGGCACCATTCCTAAAGAGATAGGGAACTTGAAATCCCTTGTGGACCTAGATTTGTCTCAGAATCAACTCACTGGTTCAATCCCAACATCCCTATGTCAGCTCACAAAACTTACCTCTGTCCGTCTCTTCACTAATAATCTTTCTGGTACTATTCCTAAAGAGATAGGGAATTTGAAGAAGTTGGCTATACTGCAATTGCATAGTAACCAATTAATAGGTTATTTGCCCCAAAATATTTGTTGTAGCGGACAACTCCAAAACCTTTCAGTGAGCAATAACCATTTGACAGGTGCAATCCCCAAAAGCTTGAAAACATGCAAGAGCTTAGTTAGAGTTCATCTTGATTTCACAGGCAATATATCAGAAGACTTTGGTGTTTATCCAAATCTTGATTTCATAGATATGAGTCACAATAAGTTTTATGGTGAAATTTCACAAAAATGGGGACAATGCGCACAACTAGAAACCTTACTAATTGTGGGAAACAACCTTATTGGTAGCATACCTCCCGAGATTGTCAATGCTGACAAAATCCATAGACTCGACCTTTCTTCAAATCACTTAGTTGGGGCCATTCCGAAGGAGTTCGGGAGAATGACATCTTTGCAGAAGTTGATGCTGAATGGAAACCAACTTTCAGGCTGTATACCTTCGGAATTTGGATTACTTGTTGATCTTGAATATCTCAACTTGTCATCAAACAAATTAATTGGGTCAATTGCGAGCACATTAGGCGACTTTCTCAAATTGTACCATCTGAATCTGAGCAACAATCAATTTTCCAAAGGAATTCCATTGAAGTTGGAAAAGTTAGTTCAATTGAACGAACTTGATTTAAGTCACAACTCACTTGAAGGTAGCATACCACCTGAAATTAGCAAAATGGAGAGTCTACAGACACTTAATCTTTCTCACAACAATCTTTCGGGTTTCATACCCTTAAGTTTTGAAGGCATGCATAGCTTGTCATATGTGGATGTATCTTACAATGAATTGGAAGGTCCCATTCCCAACAATAGAGCATTTCGACAAGCTTTGCTAGAAGCTTTACAAGGGAACAAAGGACTGTGTGGCGACGTTGAAGGTTTGCAATCTTGCACAGTTGGCCCAAGAAAGGACCGCAAATGGGTATTTGGAATCACATTCTCCCTTATAGTAGCAATTTTACTTCTTTCTGCTTTCTTTACAATTAAATTCATAGTGGAAAGAAAGAAGAAACATCTAGAAAAAGCAGAAAAATGCTTGCATGAAGAAATATCGTTTTTAGTTTTAAATTTTGATGGAAAGTCAATGTATGAGGAAATCATAAGGGCGACAGAAAATTTTGATTTCACATATTGCATTGGGAGCGGAGGACAAGGAAGCGTCTATAGAGCAAATTTGTCGAGTGACAACATAGTGGCTGTGAAAAAACTACATCAATTGTGGGATGGCGAGAAGAATTTGGAGACAGCATTCTTGAATGAAATAAGGGCACTAACAGAGATAAGACACCGGAATATTGTTAAGCTTTATGGTTTCTGTTCACACCATCAACACTCGTTCTTGGTGTACGAGTTTGTTGAAAGAGGTAGCTTGGCTACAATTTTGAGGAAAGATGAAGAAGCTAAAGAAGTAGGGTGGAGAAAAAGGGTTAATATTGTTAACGGTGTAGCTCATGCCTTGGCATACATGCACCACAATTGCATGCCACCAATTGTGCACCGGGACATATCAACCAAGAATATTTTGTTGGATTCTAAATATGAGGCCTCTGTTTCAGACTTTGGCACTGCTAAGTTTTTGAATCTAGACTCAACAACTTGGACTGCTGTTGTAGGCACATATGGGTATGTCGCACCAGGTAATATGTTTTCCTCCTTTTAACCTTATTAATTGAGTGTTGTTTATGATTAATTTTTTGGCCAAATTTATTTCTTTTCAATTTTAGGACGGATTAAACATACCACATTATATGCTTTGATTTTGAAGAGAACATTCACATAAAGTATAGGCGATAAAGCCAATCTCTAATACATAACAATGCTTGAGCAGTTTCAGGCAATAAAGAACTACGATATTGATCGATCACTCTAGCACCAATACTAATTACTGATTATGAGGTGACGATAGAAACAAGAATTGTTAATACATCACAAGTCAAACGAGAGTCGAGAAAGGACAAGATAATGAAATTGTTCTATTTTCCACCGAGAAAGAATGTCTAACTCTTGTTCTCTCAAGTTTTCTTCATCAAGATATTTACGTAATTCAAATTTTGTACTTAAAATTGAGCCCTTTTTGTAACATTTATCGAAATCCTGCATATCAAGAATAAACGTATCAAAGAGAGCCCATGTCTTGTATACCTGTGAACATATACCAACATACAATATATATGCATACAAAAAGTACAAAAACATGAACAATGAACATTAATTTACCTCAAAAGTTTAGTTTAACCCAAGGTCTGATTCATTGGATTTGAATGATGACAAGGTACCACCAACATTCTTCAACTCCTTCACAGTATTTCTACATGAAGTTGAAGGACAAAATGAAATTTTTATTTTGATGCATCTAATAGTCCAAACTAATAAGAAATCACCACACTAATAAGAAACCACCATACTAATAAGCAAAATTCTCAAATTTTCAAGAAAAATCACCACACTAATAAGAAATCCCTAAAACCCAATATTCAATTATAGTTGAAAATCAAAATTAAAACAAAACGAAGCCTTCACTACCCAAATTAAGCTAATAGTCCACTAACCCAACAAGAAAGACAAGGTAAAATCACCTCTAGATGATTGCCATTGATTCAACGTGGAGAGAGCTCGAGCTACTTCATATTGTTCTGAAATTAGAGATAGAGTGAGAAATCGTGAGAGGATGGAGGGCTGATGCTGAAGTGAGAAATCGTGGGAGGGCAGGGGGCGAAGTGGCAGAGTGAGAACGTGAGAGGGTGGAGTGAGAGAATAGGGCAGTGAGTCGGCGAAATAAGAGAGAGATTGCAGACTGTATCTCTCAGATAGGATTTACAAAATTACAAAACTAACCCTATTTAATGGGTGATTTATGATTATGAGTTTTTTGGGATTACTCAAAACCAACTGTATTTTTAATTGAGCTTGTTAAGTCTTTCCCCATTAATTAAAATTTTGCGAGCAAATTGAGTCGGGTTAACAGTTTGGGTCCATTTTGCTAGCTCTATTGTCATCTAGTTTTTGTTAAAAGTTAGTTGTAAATTAGTTTTGTTCAAAATTTTCACTCTTTATATTCAGTTTAGGTATTATATATACAAATTAATAGTCCTAATATTGCTATGGTCTTATTATGAGCAGAACTTGCATATACCATGGAAGTGAACGAAAAATGCGATGTTTATAGCTTTGGAGTGGTTGCTATGGAAACAATCATGGGAAGGCATCCTGGTGACTTTTTCTCATCATTCTTATCAATGCCATCTTCATCCACATCGTTATCAGCATCAACATTACCACCCCATCAAATGTCAGTTGTGGATGTTCTGGACCAACGCATTTTGCCTCCAACACATCAAGAAGCAAGGGAAGTACTCTCTCTTATGAAGATTGTGTTTTCATGCTTGAATCCTAGTCCACATTCTCGCCCTACAATGAGACAAGTTACTTAACTCCTCTCAACTCAGAAGTTGCATTTGTCGAAGCCAATACGTATGATAACTTGCGGTGAATTGCTTGCTCTAGATCATTTGACGGCCTGAGAAGCAAAGAGTGTGCTTGTTTCCGATAAATAAATTTCGAGTCTTCTTTTTAGAAGAAAGATTCTTCGTAGATGTTTCCTATATGTAATTTATTTTTAGGGAAGTGTTATTGACACTCCAAAAATCTCATTCTACACTTCTCACAAGTATATTTTTCTTTCAAAATATAGAAAGTTTGAAGTGTAGAATGAGATTTATGCACTAGTTTGTTGGGGCTCTATTCACTTTATGCAGAACATTTAGGGCTTGTTTGGTATCCTATTATAAATTTTTTATAATTTCTCAAAGCATTTCTTAAGAATTTGTCTTGAAATTTTTTTTCTTTAAGGCTCAAAAACTTGTTTGGTTTGCGATTTAAAATTTTTAAATCTTACAACTTAAACTAGACAAAAAAATCCAAAAAGAGGGGTTCAAGAGAGAAAGAGGAGAGAGGGAGAAAGAAAGTAAGAAATGATTGGAGGAAGGAGAAAGAAGTGAGAGGATTGGAGATAGACAAAAAGATCCAAAAAGAGGGGGTCGAGAGAAAAAGAGGAGAGAGGAGGAAAGAAAGTAAGAAATGATTGGAGGAAAGAGAAAGAAGTGAGATGATCAGAGGAGATAGACAAGAAATGGAGTGAGAGAAAGAATCGAGAGAATGAAGAGAGTGGATTGGAGGAGAGACGAAAAAGGTAAAAAAAAAGAGAAGGGAGAGAGAGAAAGAAGAAAAGAGAGAGATAGACTTAGAGTGAGAGAGGAGGAGGGAGAGAAAAGAAAGGAGTGAGTTTAAGTTTAAAAACTCTAAAAAGTCACTTTTTGTGTTTTTAGAGAATAGACTATTTTTTGAGTTAGACTTGAGTCCAGTTTTTCAAAATAGTCGTACCAAACAAGTTTTTAAGGCCTAAAACTTAAAAATTGTTTTTGAGTTTAAAAAGTTGGATTCAAGTTGAGTACCAAACAGACTTTTAATGTTTTTAGTTAAAATTGTGTTTTTGTGTGGAAGAAACAGAAGTTAATAAAACAAAGAATTGGTTTTCATGCATAGAGGCAATAACTGGCTAAGATGAGAATGCAATGACCACACTTTATATTACTATTTCTATATATGTATACGGATAGAAGTAAAGTCATAGACAAAAGCAACCAAGAAGTAGACCAAAAGCAATCGGGTTCTGGCCGAAATAGCCTGCAGTAGGTCTTCACATGAACTGCTTGTGGCAAGGTAGGCTTATCACTCTCTCTACAAGAAATCCCTCGAGGAGGATGTTGGGCATCACACAACTAGGGACTGCAGCAAGGTAAAGTTGCTAGAGTATAACTTTTTAAACATATTATATTATATAGGGTAAATAAGGTAAATTATATTTTGCATTCTCAAGTTTGGTGCAATTCTAATCTCATAAAATGTGTATAAGATATTCGTTAGGTTTGTTTTTGGCCAAATAAGTACAAACTATTCACATAAAACACACACACCACTACAATAGTTTATTTTTCACTTAGATCTAGAGGTTTTTTTTATTAGCACCCCACATTGTTGAGTGGGTACATTTTTGCTCGCCATCCTAAATTTTGATGTATACTCACCATATTTGAAAAAGTAAAATCTAATATGAAAGTTAACTAGAGTTAAGTGAAAGGAGATATGCAAATGGTTAGGTGTATGGTGAGATACACCATAGTTATGACAGTGAGCAAATATGCACCCAAAATTGAACACAACCAATACTTAGGGTCTCATAAGTTACAATCACAGGTAGCCCGGTTACAGTTGCAGTTAAAATCCAAAGACAAGCCTTCTTTGAGTCTTCTGTTGCATCATCACAATATATATATATATATATATATATATATATATATATATTGCAATCCTATTGGATTAGAAATGTGATTGTGTAAATCCTAGTGTATATAGGAGTATCTTGTATATTCCTATTAAGAGTTGATTACCTATTAAGAAATGTAATCCTAAAAGGGTAAGGATTCTACCTTCCATACTATTATAAATAAAGGCACAATGGGGTGGAATATAACACACCTCACAATTACACATCTCTCTCTTCTTTCTACTATTGTTGCACCCCCTTTCTAAGGCCTCCATAATTGTTAAGTAAATTATGCCTACAACACATTATTAGCACGTTCTTGACGCTGTGCTAAAGAGAGTTTGATCTTCAATCAGGGGAGTATTACGTTTTAATCATTCTTTTTTATGATTAATTTATTATTTTATAGAATTGATTTACACGCTATTGATTCAATTTAATTTTTTTATGTTGAACGTAATAGAATGCATTGGAGATGCAATTTCGGCTTTCCGAGAAGGATTTTCTACAAATTCAAAGGCTCAATTGTTTTCTACCAATCAGGTTCCTTTAAAATAGATTAAGATATTTGAAAAAACCTTGAAGCATGAAAACATTCCCCATGATGCATGAATCCCCTTATATTTATATTTTCCTTTCCGTTATATATATCGTATATATGTTCATATATTTTGTCAATATATATAATTGTTCATGCATTACGCATTTATGCTATGTGGAGTTGTGATTCAAAGAATCGAAATTAATTTAGAAACCCTAAATATTCGAAAAAAAGGAAGGGAAATTGAGATTTTTTGCGGCAACATCACCGCACCACTGTGGCACCACCACAAGGACCACTGTGCTGCCTTGAAGCCCAGCCGCGGGGATGACCCTCTCGAGACGACGTAGTTCGACGTCTTGAACCCTTGTCGAAGCCTTTGGGCTTCGCTGCATACTGTGGACACCAGACCATAAGCCTGGTTTGTTTTCGTACCAAAGAGCCTGTAGCCCCTACCCGAGCCATCGCACACTGAGCTGGTCCTCAGTCTTGGCCCACACCAGCAACTATGCTGTTGCGCTTAGCCTTTGCCACGACCTACATTCCAATTAGCCAGCCCAAGGGGCTGGGCTTAATCCATATGACCCAAAACCAAAACCCAGCTCTTGCTGGGGTTTCCCGCAAGCCAGCCTTTAGGTTATGTTTGTCCCCGCGTGTTAGTCTTGGCCAAACATACCAGCAGCTTGCTACTGAGCTTCTTGTCTTTCGGCACGTGGCCTGCATCCACATGTGGACTGCTCTTAGCAGTCACCCGAGCCTAATAAACCCTTTAGGGCCTTGCCCTACTGAAGGCACCCATTCCCACCGTGTTTGGGCTATGGTTTTTCGAATCCAATGATAATCTTTGGCATTCTAAATAATTTTAACCCGAATGTTATAATTATTTTTGTTTTTACGATTGACCATGAATGGTCTCAATCTGTTGAATTAATTAAAGTGACCATCAGTCCGCTAATCTGATAATTAATCCAAAATTACTAGCATGTAGCTCACTTTTTGGCAATTAACGATTCAATAAATTATTTCATTTCTTTGAACTGTTGACTATCTTTTGTAGTCCCGAAACACTCATACTTGAGTTCCTAAAGCAACCAAAATCTACTACACTTAGTTGTATATTGTATTCTGTGTTGGATTGTCCTAAATAAAGTCTGTCGGCGCTTTTCAGACACAATTGTAGCTTTTCGGATATCACGAGCAACTTTATAAAAAATCTCTGACAAAGTTAAAAAACGTGAATTTTACTGTTCCAATTACACCACTGTTGTTAACAAGAGTAAAGGAATATCACCACTACTTGTTGTTGGAAAATCCCTATATATGTTAACCTCCGTCCTCCATGGCAAGGCAGACATGCAAGAATGCCTAACTTTTTCCCATCTCCGAGAGTGCATTTCCAACGAAGCATCTCGAAATACTTAGTTTTCTTCCTCTCTGAGAATACCTCTTCAATCAAGTCACACCAGAGCAAAAGTATCTCATATCATGCTTTTTCCCTGTCCTTTTTTTTTTTTTTTTTTTTTTTTGTCATTGTTCTTACTTGCAGGACAAGGAGAAAGAGAGCAATCAGTCGGAACCTGAAATCAAACTTCTAGTTAAGAACCGACTGCCTGGAACCCTTTCCCTGATTGCTTACCTAGCATCGCTCTCAAGTACTTATCTTCAATTGTTGTTAGGTCTCGAATTTCCTCAGCAAATACCTTAGAACAGTTGATATGATGTTGACTATTTACACTGAAGCTGCCAAGCATGGATGAGTCGCTGAGAAGTGATGTTTTGAAGGATCATTCAAAGGCAAAGGTTGTGCACCACTTCTGTTATGCAAAATATTGAAGCAGAAGGATTAATGATGAACCCATTGTGCCCAGCTATGGTCCCGAAGCTCGTCGACAATATAAGGATGGTTTTGAACAATGGCAACAAGCAACATGTCTCCGTTACCGTAGTACAAAACCTTCAGGTCCGGCCTTGGCCACCTACCTATTTTCACCGGGGTAGTTGAATTGGTTGGAATCACATTTACAGGGGAACCTGCCAAGAACAAAAAAAAAAAAACAAGCATAGAAGAATGCAGCAATGGCAGCTTGGTCATCTGAAACAATTGGCAAAGGAAACTACAAGCTCTTCATCTAAGCTCGAGCACAATGATGGGCTGGCACAGATCATTATAACACGATGCCTTTCCCTGAAAAACTACATAATCCAGATAAGGAACTTCAAAGCATAGTCACCAAACACATTCACTATGCAAGGGACTTCAAAACACATCTTCTACACGTGACAAGCACGTGTATACGACTCGTCTTGAAGTGGGGGCATTTGTAGACATCGAAATTTCGATGAAATAAATGTTCACCAACGCATTAAAGTTTCAATGTGCCAGGTCATATATGGCATACGCCACTTGTCGTACAAATTGTACATATGGCGTGTGACTCAACGAAATTGGACGAATCACATCATATTGAAAAAGGGTGCATGAAGAGTATCGGAAGAAATACCCTTGGAGGATTAAACAAGTTTTTCTCTCATTTTGGGCAATGACAAGGCAATCACATTTCAATCCATTATGGATCAAAACAAGTTTTTTTTTTCTCATTTTGGGCAATGAAAAGGCAAGCACACTTCAATCCATTATGGATCAAAACAAGTTTTTCTCATTTGGGCAATGACAAGGCGAGCACACTTCAAGTTTAAAATTGTATTAAGTGGGAAAATTAGGCCATAAGTTAGGCCATAAATGGGTGGGAAGAAAAAAATTCTGGTGGTGATTCATTCTCAAAGCCTATAAATAGGCTTCTCCATCAAAGTATCAAACATCCCAAAATCACACATTCAAAGCAAAGCAACGAGAAAGAAGCAAAGCATTTTTGCCTTCTCTACTTCCCAAATTCCCAAGAATTCTGAAGAATCCAGAAAACACTCTTTGTTCTTTGCCAACACCTTTGAAGAATCAACAAGCACACGTGCCAGTTCTTCCTTCGCCACAAGCCAAATCCTCGAGGCGACCGTTCATCCAAGATCAAGTCATCGCGACCCTTGGATCAACAACACATCCACACATCTACACCTTTCAGAGATTGAATCAGAGGATCAAGTTGTAAAGAGATTGTAACCTACAAATTCATTACAACACAATATTCTTGGTACACGTGTTCTTGTCTCATTTGTCGCAAAAAATTCGTGTTTACAGTAATGTTTACCACAAGAAAACCAACGTACAATTCACATTCATATTCCTATGTACAAAATCACGGCCAGAGATAACTCTACTGAAAAAAAAACATAGATATAAATGAGAAATGAATAAGAGGGCAGAGTTGAGATAATGATACTTGAAAAAAAGAAAGATTGGATACAATAGGAAACAACGGTTAGAAGGAATGGGGTGGGCCCCATAAATAAAGTAGTGTACTGTACTAGCTGGCGACAATGACTTTGACTTAGACTTAGGGCCTGTTTGGGATTGAGGTGCTTAAAAAAAAAGCTCCTATGAAAAAAAGCTATGAAAATTTTTGGTGTTTGGTAAACTTTAAAAAGCAGCTTTTTTTCAAAGTTGAGGGTGAAAAAAAGCCCAAAACCAAGAGATGACAAGAAGCTGCAATTTGTAGCTTCCAAAAGCAGCTTATTTTCACCCACACACGGGTGAACAGTGTCCAGGTTTAATGAAATATACCGACGCTCTCGCCTTTCTCCAGAACTCTCTCGCACGTCAAAACTACAACCTAGACCCCGATCTAGGTATCAAAATGAAGCACTAGCCAAGAGGAGTAGTTTTATACCTTGGGTTCGCCGTGAAACGGCTTGTGGTGGCCGGAAAATCCCTCGGAAAACACGCACTCGCCGGAAAATTGGGTGTACCTCCACCCTTGCCAAAAACACTCCAAAACCTTGAAAATTCATGAACCCAACTCAGTAACTACATTTAACCAACATCTAACAAGACTAAGAAGGGAGAAACCATGCCTACCCAACCGGAAAACAAGCTAAAATTCGCCGGAGATGCTCGGCGTACTCCGGCACCGCGAGCAGGGGAGAGAGAAAGAGAGAGAGAGAAGCAGTTCAACGGCGATGATGGTGACTCTCCCTGAGTTGTGCGACTGTGGGTATTTGTGTGTGTGTGTGTGTGTTGTCACGGGGAAGAAGAAGAGAGAAAGGGAGGAGTTTTCGAAAAGAAAGGAAAAAGAAAGATGCAGACAAACCAAAACAAAAGAAAAGAAAAGAAAAGAAAAAGAAGAAGGAGAAGAAGAAAAAGGTGTCACGGAAGGGAGAAATTTTTAGGTGTGCCGGGAACACCATGCCACGTGGTTTGTAATACTAATTAATATTTAAGATAAAGTTTATAAATATTTTTCTTCTAAAAATAAAATATATTTAGTAATTCACTTTTATTTGTTAAGAAAATTAAATTAATAACACATCTAGTAATATACCCTTTTTGATCATTTCACACAGTCACAGCTGTTTTACAAAAAAGTTTACCAAACACTATGATACTGCTTTTTGTTTCCAAAAGCACTTTTACAAAAAAGTTTACCAAACACTTTGCTGGCTTTATTTCACAGCCGCTTATTCTCACAGCACAGCCACTTATTCTCACAGCAGCTTTTTTTCAAAGCACAGCAATACCAAACCAGCCCTTAGACTTAGACTCCAAAGCTTTAACGAAACCATTAATTGGAAAAACATTTTTGCAGACTCGGTATCCTTGTTCTTCTCTCCCACCTTTTTTTTTATGTGCGGGTCAAATGAATTACAATAGCTCATGAATGCCATTATAAATAAGCCCTAGGAGTAGATTCTAATATGTACACAAAATTACCATGACATCTTTAGATTTTCATAAACTATGCCTTCTGGCTTATTGCCTTGTCTTATTCATACAACTTTTTTCATCAGCAAGTTACGCTGGTTTTGCTTCTGCTTCTGCTACTTCTACTACTGAAGAAGAAGAGCTTCTCAAATTGAAAGTCACCTTTCAAAACCTTACCCATTTGCAAACTCTCAACTCATGGACTTACCTACCCACTCATACAGAAGTAGCCCCATGTTTTTGAACTAGTATTTCATGCAATGTTGCTGGAAGTGTTGGCTGTGATAAACCTTACCAATTCCAATATACAAGGTATGCTACATGAATTATCATTCTCGTCCTTCCTTAATCTTCAATACCTCAACCTCAGCAACAATAATCTCTTTGATGTCATTCCAACTCGGATTAGTTCCCTCTCCAAACTCAGTTATCTTGATCTTTCTTACAATCAACTTAATGGTTCAATCCCAACATCCCTCAGTTATCTCACAACCTTTACCATTCTCCATAGCTCCAATAATAATCTTTGTAGCACAATTCCCAAAGAGATAGGTAAATTGAAATCTCGTGTGAAGCTAGCTTAGTCTGAGAACAAGCTCAATGATTCAATCCCAACATCCCCAGGTAATCTCACAAACCATACTTATGTCTTTCTCTTTAGAAATCACCTTTCTAGTACAATTCCTAAAGAGGTAGGACTTGTCTGAGAATCAGCTCGGTGGTTCAATCCCAACATCCTTAGGTGATCTCACAAGCCTTACCATTCTCTATCTCCATAGCAATAATCTTTTTGGCACTATTCCTAAAGAGATAGGGAAATTGAAATCTGTTGTGGAGCTCAGCTTGTCAAATAATCAACTCGATGGTTCAATCCCAACATCTCTAGGTGATCTGACAAACCTTACCATTCTCTATCTCTATATTAATAATCTTTCTATCATTATTCCCAAAGGGATAGGGAAATTGAAATCTTTTGTGAGTCTAGATCTGGCTTATAATAAGCTCAAAGGTTCAATTCATGCTTCAATAGGTAACCTATTCAACTTGGAACACTTAGGCTTACAAATGAACCAACTTTCTGGCTCCATCCCCCAAGAGATAGAGAATTTGAAGAAGTTGACTGAATTGTACGTGGAGTTTAACCACTTAATAGGTTATTTTCCCCAACATATTTGCTACAGTGGACAACTCAAAAACCTTTTGGTGAGCTATACCATTTGACAGGTCCAATCCCTAAAAGCTTGAAAACGTGCAAGAGCATAGTTAAAGTTCGTCTTGAAGGGAACTAATTGACATGCAATATATCAAAAGACTTTAGTGTCTATCCAAATCTTGATTTCATAGATATGAGCCACAATAAGCTTTACAGAGAAATATCACAAAATTGGGTACAATGCTCACAATTAGAAACCTTACTAATTGCGGGAAACAACCTTACTGGTAGCATACCTCTCGAGGTTGTCAATTCAGATAAAATTCATGAACTCGACCTTTCTTCAAATCACTTAGTTAGGGTGATTGCGAAGGGATTCGGGAGAATGACTTCTTTGTAGAAGTTGATGTTGAATGGAAATCAACTTTCAGGCTCTGTACCTACGGAATTTGCATTACTTGTTGATCTAGAATATCTCGACTTGTAATCGAACAAATTCGATGGGTCAATTGTGAGCACTTTAGGCCACTTTCTCAAACTGTACCATCTGAATTTGAGCAACAATGATTTTTCCCAAGGAATTCCATTTAAGTTGGAAAAGTTAGTTCAGTTAAACGTACTTGATTTAAGTCACAACTCAATTGAAGGGAGCATACCACCAGAAATCAACAATATGGAAAGTTTGCAGACACTCAATCTTTCTCACAACAATCTTTCAATGAATTGGAAGGTCTTCTTCCCAACAACAGAGCATTTCAACAAGATCTGCCAGAAGCTTTACAAGGGAGCAAAGGGCTATGTGGCAACATTGAAGGTTTGCAACCTTGCACACATGGATCAAGAAAGGATCGCAAACAGGTATTTGGAATCACATTCTCCCTTATAGCAGCAATTATACTTCTTTTTGCTTTCTTTACAATTAAATTCATAGCGGAAAGAAAGAAGAAACATCCGAATAAAGTAGAAAAAAAAAACTTCAATGAAGAAATATCATTTTCAGTTTTAAATTTTGATGGAAAGTCAATTTATGAGGAAATCATAAGGGCGACAAAAAATTTTGATTCCACATTGCATCGTGAGCGGAGGACAAGAAAACGTCTACAGAGCAAATTTGTCAAGTGACAGCATAATGGCTGTGAAGAAACTACATCAATTATGGGATAGCAAGAAGAATTTGGTGAAGGCATTCTTGAATGAAATAAGGGCACTAACAGAGATAAGACACCAGAACATTATGAAGCTTTATGGTTTCTGTTCACACCATCGACACTTGTTCTTGGTGTACGAGTTTGTTGAAAGACGTAGCTTGGCTACAATTTTGAGCAAAGATAAGGAAGCTAAAGAAATGGGGTGGAGAGAAAGGGTGAATATTGTTAACGGTGTAGCTCATGCCTTAGCATACACGCACCACGATTGCGTGCCACCAATTGTGCATCTAGACATATCAAGCAAGAACATTTTGTTGGATTATGAATATGAGACCTCTGTTTCAGACTTTGGTATCGCTAAGTTTTTGAATCCAGACTCAACTACTTGGACTGCCGTTGTAAGCACATATGGGTATGTCGCACCAGGTAATATGTTTTCTTCCTTTTAACCTTATTAATTGAGTGCTGTTTATGATTAATCTTTTTTGCCAAATATTACTTCTTTTCAACGTTAGGAAGGATTAAACATACCACGTTACATGCTTTGATTTTGAAGAGAACATTCAGTGATTCACATAAAGTGTAGCGATACTTAGGGTTCATTGTAAGTTCTTCCAAGTCAACACTCTCTTTCCTTAAAGCTAAAACATAAAAATAAATTAGAAAAAATCAATTGTAACATGCAAACTGCAGTAAGCATCTAATTTAATAAGTAATACCAATCGAGATGTTAATGAACTACTAAAAACTAACTAATTAAAACAACATGCAGTAAACATGAAAACTGCAATAAGAATACAAATACCATGTAAGATTGACCTCTTTTGCCAAAAAGCCAATCTCTAATACATAACAATGCTTGAATGGTTTCAGATAATAAAGAACTACGATATTGATCGATCACTCTAGCACTAATACTAAACACTGATTCTGAGGTGACGGTAGAAACAAGAATTGTTACATCACAAGTCAAACGAGAAAGGCCAGGATAATAAATTGTTCTATTTTCCACCGAGAAAGAATATCCAACTCTTGTTCTCTTAAGTCTTTCTTCATCAAGATATTTACGTAATTCAGATTTCACACTTAAAATTGAGCCATTTTTGTAACTTTTATCGAAATCTTGCATATAAAAAGTACAAAAACACAAAATATAAGACAAGTAAAGATTATTGTGATGTAAAATAACTCTAATCTAAGAAGTTCAAACAAAAGTTTCTCAAGAGGCTATCATCAGCAATGAGAAGCAGTCACATATCGAACATCAATTGATAGAATGGACCAATCATATAACATCATACAATTCTCAAATTTGTAGCTTCAGAGCTACGGACCAGCAACATATATATATGAATATGATAAGTAAAATTCTCAAATTTTGAAGAAAAATCACCAATCGAATATGAAGATGATCACTAAGATGAAATCTCTAAAACCCAATATTCAATTATAGTTGAAAATCGAAATTAACCCAAAACGAAACCATCACTACCCAATGTACAAAAAAGACAAAGTAAAATCGCCTCTAGATGACTGCCATTGATTTAATGCAGAGAGAGCTCGAACTGCTTCATATTGTTCTGAAATTAGAGAGAGAGAGCGAGAGTGAAAGATCGTGAGAGGACGGAGGGCCAAATGATGGAGTGAGAAATCATGAGAGAGCAGAGGATGGAGTGGCGGAGTGGCGGAGTGGCAGAGTGAGATCATGGAGCGCGGAGTGAGGGAATAAGGCAGTGAGTCGGCGGAGTAAGAGAGACAGATCGCAACCCACTCGGTATCTCTTAGATAGATTTACAAAAGGCCTAATCGGATAGATGATCCTCGTGGTGATAAGGTTATTGGAAGATAGCCCTCGTGGTAAAAAAAAATTAGGATTTAAACCCTCATGCTGTAGTCCATTAGTAAATTTAGTCCACAAGTGATTTTTCTGTTAGTTGTCCGTTAAGTGCAGGGTAAAACTGTACTTTTGACGTGTTCTTCTTCCTTGTCTCTCTACGTTTCCTCATCTAGCTGGGTTTTGATTTTGTTGGGGGAGTAAGCGATCGTTAAGGAGGAAGATTCAGCTGCGCTTTTTTGCAATGGCCACTTTGCCGCTGGATCATTGCGAATATGGGCTTTTTAATCACAAAATTTTGAATCCCCAAAATTTGGCGCCCAAACCCCAAATCAAATCGCCGCCAAAATTTTCAGTAATACCAAAATCCCACATTGACTTGTGAAATCCGAAAGCAGAGAAGAAAATGCCGACCGTGTTCATCGCAGTTCGGTGCTGCCAATGCTCCACCATGCAGGCATGTACATGCGTGTGTATATATATGCGTGTGTACAAACACTTGAATCTGAAACTTGATGATTTTGTTTGGCGATGAATACTGATTAAATTTACAGGTGAAGCAGAGGAACAAAAGCAACAAGTGGACATGTGTCGTCTGCAATCAGAAGCAGTTCGTCTGCCAAGTGTTTGCTCAAGGTCCCATGGCCAGAGACCTCCGCCTCTTTGTCCAGTCCTCCAACATGTCTCACCAGTTCGCCCAACAAACCCATGATCAACAGCAACAGCAACAGCAACAGCGATAAGAACAAGATACTCTTATTTCTTCCGATTACTCGTACAAGACCGAAAAGAGAAGACGAAACGATTGGACCCAATACCTGGATCCTGAGGACAGTGATCCCTGCATTTAACGGACAATTAACAGAAAAATTAGTTTTGGATTAAATTTGCTAACAGATTATACCACGAGAGTTTAAATCCTAATTTTTTTACCACATGAGCTATCTTTCGATTGCCCCATTACCATGATGACCATTTATCTGATTAGGCCTTTACAAAATTACGAAACTAACCATTTTTAAGTCTTTGCCCATTAGTTGAAATTTTGAGAGCAAATTGGTCATTTTGTCTGGGTCCATTTTGCCAGCTCTATTGTCATTTTTTTTTGTTTTTTTGTTAAAGTTGATTGTAAATTAGTTGTCCAGTTTTGTTCAAAATTTTCACTCTTTATCTTCAGTTCAGGTTTTATATATACAAACTAATACGCCCAATATTGCTATAATCTTTTATGTGCAGAACTTGCATATACCATGGAAGTGAACGAAAAATGCGATGTTTACAGCTTTGGAGTGGTTGCATTTGAAACAATCATGGGAAGGCATACCGGAGATTTATTTTCTCATCATTCTCATCAGTGCCTTCTTCATCCACGTCGTCATCAACATCTACATTACCACCCCCATCAAATGTCAATTGTGGATGTTCTGGACCAACGCATTTTGCCTCCAACACATCAAGAAGTAGGGGAAGTACTCTCTCTCTCTTAAAGATTGCATTTTCATGCTTGAATCCCAATCCGCATTCTCGCCCTGCAATGAAAAAGTTTCTCAACTCCTCTCAACTCAAAAGCTACATTTGCCAAAGCCATTACGTATGATAACCTGCGGTGACTTGCTTGTTCCAGATCCTTTGACAGCCTAAGAATCAGAGAACGTGTTTTTTTCTATAAATAAATTTCGAGTCTTCCTTTCAGAAGGACTTTTTGTAGATGTTTCCTTTATTGTAATTTACTTCACGCACTTGTTTACTGGGGCTCTATTCACTCTATGCAGAATGCTTGATGCTTTATGCTTTTTACTTAAAATTGTTTTACCCTTGTGAGGAAGAAACGTAAGTTAATAAAACAAAGACTTGTTTTTCATGCATAGGGACAGTGACTAGCTAAGACGATAATGCAGTGGCCATACTCGTTTACAATTTTCTTACAGATAGAGAGAGAAAGAAAAGTGACCAATCTCATTTGACCGGTCCGATTGTTAGTGTTAAACATGATGGTAATGATCTGGTAACGAAAAAAGGATTATTTTTGTTATTTTGTTCTGGTAATTCTCTGACTCTCAATGACCAATGATGCTGATTAAGATCGGTGTTTGTTGAAGAATATGAGAATCCTGCGTTGGAGGATTCCACTTTTAATTACACCGCAGTCTTGTGTGATAGAACTCTCACACATGCCTGCGTTGTGTAGGTGGTAAGATACAAGTTGAGGAGCAGTATATAGGCATTTAGTAGTGGTTCGCCAAATCTAGACCATGTTTATTTACGTGAATTTGGTGGATTGGTGAAAGATCCGTGTGAATTTGGTGAATTTGGTGAAAGATCCGTGTGAATTTGGTGGATTGGTGAAAGATCCGCGTGAATGCAAATCTTTGCTTTTGTAGAAAATTCTGTAATGTTAAATTTGAAAAGGAAGAGATTATGTTAATTTGTAACGCCAAATTCACATCCCTATTGCTAAATATCTCCTTGAATCTTTCATCTCTCCCTCAACACAAAAGCTTTTTGAGTCGAACACAGATGCAGGCCACAACTCTGAACATTAACGACGAATCACTCAGACCTCAAACTGGATGAATCGATCATTCGTTTATCCTCTGGACGATGAACTGTTCGAAGACCTCAACCTCGACCTGGATGAACCGCTAATATATCATCTTCTGAATGATGAATGCTAATAGATCATCTTCTGAATTGCTGAAAATATCTTCAAATATTGGATGAAAGTATAAATTCATGAATTTACCTAGCTTAGGAGATTAATCGCGATACTTCGATTATATGTACAGTGCAAGACAAATACAGTCCGAGAAATTTGCAAAACTTGTAATTTTTGCTAAGAAATTTCTATGCAATGTATGAAAATCATTGAGAAAATCAAATTAATCAATTACTAATATTATTAAATAACAGAAGAAACCCTACTTTCAAGTCCAGAAGAGCCATGAAACATAATTTAAAGAGTCTATTGGCAAATAAAATCAAGAAATCACCAGGTGTTGAGATAACAAGCCATCAAATAACAGCAAACATTACCAGCGTGAACCAAGCAAGGTTTTAAAACTAGACACATACTAGGAAACTCAAGCCAACATCTACTCGTCAAGCTCCTGCAATTCCTTGAGAATCTGGGTGCAGCCAGACAAGGCTTCGGTCCTCATGAAACCCATAGCATTGGCAAACCGATTGTACGAAGCAATACCGTTGTTGGCGGTGAGGATGACACGTGCACGCTCGCGCCCTGGGGAAACTGTTGCACAGTCCTTCTGAGGGCTGCTAACAAGGACTGCATCACAGAATTGGTCCAAATGGTCCTCTGCAACTGGGATCTTATAGCAACCTGCTGAGTCGGTTGTCCCTTCTTTGGTGTACAGGAGTGCCATGCTGTTCTTGTCTCTGCATTCCAGTCTAACCTTGGCACCTATAATTAACATCACCAGATAAACTTGTTAAACAACATCTCCAATCGAAACAGTTTCCACTAATTCCTTCCAAATTGCTAGTTTAAAGAACCAACAATACTGAGGATACAAATAACCAAACCCACTATGACACTAGAGCAGCTATGCACCCTGAACCAGTAATCTAAACTCATTGTCGATTTGTCAAAACCTATTCCAAACATGAGCATAAGATTCAATAACCATCAAGTCACCAAAGTTCTCCTAAACTTGTCACAAACCAATGTCACGAACGACATAAATTGGTGTTAGAAAACAATGCAGCAAAGAGTCGATGTACATATGAACAACAAAACATTAACAGATAATGTTTAACATTCTCGAAACAAATTCATGGGTTCAAAATGATGTCAAAACATGATCATAAACTAGAATCAACGACCACTAGCAAACAAAACTCATCCTAATTATTTATCCGCAAAATGACGTCACGAATGATCACGAATGGCATAAAAGTTTCGAAATGTATGCATTCAAAGTTGACCTAGATTTGAGCAAACATTACCCTGCAGATAGGATGTCCTTAAGACTTCTCCGAACAAATTACTGGGTCCTAATTTTCAATGAAAATTGCAAGCTGCTTTCTTTAAATATGATGATAAATTCAATGTCTCCATGTATTAATTTAACCTCAATTATTCTTTATCAGGCACTAAAAGTACACACAACAAAATAATACATATATTACTTCCTACTACGTTCTAGTGGTATTCTTCTTCACTTTAAGTGAGATGTTTTATGTTCGATACTCGAATTTGAACCACAATATTATCAGCCAATTGTAATTGTAAGGCTAAACTCATCTCCAACTTTTAGTGTATATAATGTCGTTTTTTAAAAAAAACAAAATAATAAACATAAAAACCCTAAAAGCATCATCATTTGACTATACAGTGCACCCAATTCAAACTTCAAACCCAGTCAGATCTGAAAATTTCAAAAAACCAAATATTGCAACTAAATTTACAAACAAAAGACGCGACACTTCCAGATCTACCAAATCAGATCCAAATTCCACATCTACAAAAATTACCCAAATTCCCAATACAAAATTAGAGTTAACATACAAATCAAGAGTTAAATATTTGTTACCGGCAATGTAGGTGATGGCCTTGGTCTCGTACCCAGCGCGGCAAGTGTCGCAGTACACCTTTCCCTCCACCGTGAACGGGGTTCTCATGGGACGCGTGGCGGCGGCCAGAGCCGGAAGCACGCACAGAGTAATTAGCAGAAACACTTTCGCCATTGCGGCCATTTTCTGTCTTTTCACTTCGTTTTGGCAGAGAGATTTGAGAGAGAAGAAGATTGCAGAAGGGAAATGCAGAGGAGTGAGAGATGTGAAAAGAGAGAGAATGTGTGATGATGCTGGTGGGGGAAAAAGTTTCAGGAATAATCGGAAAATTTGATACCGCGTAACGGGGCTTTTGCCTACGCGCCTACGGCGGTGCACCGTTTTTTCATCCAATTAACGGATGCCACGTGGTGAGATGTGGGTTTTCGGTCATTTCCATTGGGTAGGATTGAGGGATATGCGGAGGTTGCAAGGGGATATGGTGAGAACGGATGCAGGAAAGAACAGGTCTTGTGATTGAGAGCAGCTGGCGATGTCGGTGCTCACATGGGACGGATTTGAATCCTGAGCCCAAGGAAAGCATCCTCCTGATCAAAGAACTTAAACCGTTAGATGAAAATTCAACAGCTATAATTATTATAATTTTAAAATGATCCTCCTGTTTGTAACCGTTAGATTTTCATCCAACGGTCCAAATCATTTGATTAGGAGATCCTGTCCTTGGTCTCAGGAGAGGATCCAAGTCCACAAGGGACATGGTGAATAAAGAACAAAAGATTAATATCAGTTTACTACCGTCATGTTTTGTGGTTTTCATTATTTAGTATAGCAAGTTTTTTTCGTCCTAGAGTCATAACTAAAATTTAATTTTGGGACAGTCTCATACATCCATTAGTTAAACTGTTAAATCTGCCGTTAACTGATGACGAAGCACTTATGTGGACAATAACTGGGCGTCACGTGTCATTAAGAGGTCCTTGTAGATTTTTTTTTTTTTGGGAGAAGGAGTTAAAAAAATATTTAAAAAAAAAAAAGCCTTATCTTCTCCCTCCCTCATGCCATACCCTCTCCCTCCCTTCTCTCTTCCGCAACCCGTACCCCTTCCCTCCATTCTCTCTTCTACAACCTACACCACCCTCCCTTCTCTCCTCCTTACTCCCTTATCCCTCCATTCTCTCCTTTTGCACCAACCCACCAAACCCTAGTTTTATAAAATTTCATCAAATATGTTAGCTGATTAACAAAATACAGGCATCTGTTAGTTAGCAAGCAAAATAATCCTAAAACTTTCATCGACCAATCAATGATTCTTTACGGTACACAACTTCTATTTTTCATGTTGTTCCATTGCTATAGAACAAGCTTTTGGTTGTAGTTGTTGGGTTCTGAAAGGTTGCAACACATAGACAAGTTTTGTGAACTTGGATCCGGGTTTGCCCGTTGATCGGTGGCCTGAACCGGGAGTGGAGTTACAATGGGCATTGCCAAGCCCGAGTGTGGGACGCAGGCGGATTGCAAGGGGAAGTCCACTTGTAGGTCCAATCTGGCTGTTGACAAGCAAGTAGACATTGAAGACAAAGACGATGATGCAGAGAATAATGGCGACGATGACGAGTGCGAGGTTGAAATCGCCCATCGCGGCGGCATTGTTTCAGTTGCTCTCGAATCAAATCAAATTGGAGAGATCGAGAAGGGGAATTAGTAATTAGGGTTAAGGATGTGAAATTGTGTGTTCAAGTGATCGTAGATCTCTATTGCTGGTCCGAAAAGGAGCAGGGCCATTAAGGAAAGACAAAGGGAAAGGGTTGAGGGCTGAGTTCCAGTAAGGTGGTGATGAAGGCGACGGGGGTGGCGTAGTATGGGCTGGGGTGGGTGAAGGTTGATTTGGGAAGAAAGAAGGGAGGCAGTGCGGGGGGATGAGGGAGGGAAGGAAAAGACCCGACCTTTTTTTTTTTTTTTTGAATTTTTTTTTAACTCCTTCTACAAAAAAAAAATTCCACGTGGACCCCTTAATGACACATGGCGTCTAGTTATTGTCCACACAGAAGCCACATCATTAGTTAACGGCAGACTTAACAGTTAGTCTAATGGATGTATGAGATTGTCCCAAAATTAACACTTTAGGTATGACTTTAGGACAAAAAAAACTTGACGTACTAAATGTTGAAAACCATGAAACATGAAGGTAGGAAACTGATATTTACCCAAGAACAAAAGATAAAAAAACAAAGAGAAAGATAGAGCGGTTCTAATGAAAGTTATAATTTCTTTGATACAGTCATTATTTTTATGGGAATATTTCAAAAAATTTATAAAAATAAAAAATTAATTAAAATAGTTTAAAAAGTTTGAGTTTTAATTAAAATGATAAAAAAATATCATAAAGTGAATAGTACCAGAAGTGACTTTTTAAAGTAAAAATGTCTTTTTTGTTAAAAGTGAGCAGTACCGAGAGTGTTCTTTAAAACTCTTATAAAAAAAAATAATATGAAAATGAGGGTGAAGTCTAAATTTCACTTCAATTAGATAAAACTCTTAAGTTTAGGTTAAAATTGACATATATCATCGATATTTTTGACACACAATATTTGACAATACCTAAAGTTTTATTTTAAATTTTCATCATTTCCATCGAAAACAACTGATATCGATATTGGTACAAATTTACATATCGATATTTTAAACACTGATAGTAATGCGTTGTAAACGATGATGCCTAGGCTCTAGAATGTTTTATTATTATTTTGGATTAACTATATTTCACATCCTCCATGTCTGGGATAACTTTTAAAATGGACAATGAATTGTTAATTTTCTCACTTTGCCCTTTAAAAGGTCTTGAAATTGAATCAATTTACATTTTTTTATCTAATGAATTATTTCAAACTTTGTAAATTAATGACATAGTGAGCATAAGCTCCGAAATTAATTTCACATGTAAGTCACATTTTCATTGTAAATATAAAACTCATCAATTTAATGGCAATTAGATGTTTAAATATACAAAAGGTGTAACGTAATACAATTTTAAATGGGTAAAGTACAAAAAACTACCTTAACTATTGGTCTCACGACACTTTTATCTTTTTAAAATGACAATGTCATACCTCATCTTATGAATTTGTGCCAATGTCATACCTCCGTTAGTTTTTCTGTTAATTTCTCAGTTAAATGCTGACGTGGCTTGATTCGGGATCCACTTTCTAATAAAAAATTATTAAAAACAAAAAAAATCATTTAATATTTTTAAAATATTAAAATAATAAAGAAAAGTTAAAAAAAAAAAAAAAAAACCAAACAAAACTTCCCCTCCACGCCATCTCTCTTCTCCCTGATCTTTATCTCCCTTCCTCTTCTTCCTACATGTTGCAACCCAGAAAAAAAAAAACAAAAAACAAAAAAACAAAACAAAACATTGTCCCTCCCCCCCTGGGCGCCCTTTCTCTTCTCCCCCATCTTCATCTCGCTTCCTCTTCTTCCTACATGCTGCAACCCAGGAAAAAAAAAAAAAAAAACAAAACTATGTCCGTTCCCCCCCCCCAGGCACGATCTCTCTTTTCTCCCCCATCTTCATCTCATTTCTTCTTCTTCTTCCTACCTGCTGCAACCTAGGAAAAAGAAAGAAAAAAAAAATACACAAAACTTTGTCCCTCCCCGCCCCCCCCCCCCCCCACCACGGGCGCCCTCTCTCTTCTCCCCTATCTTCATCTTCTTTCCTCTTCTTCCCTTATCTGTTGCAACCCAGAAAAAAAAAAAAAAAAAACCAATTGTCTTCCCCCGCACCCTCTTCCCTCCTCTACACACCCCACTCCTTAAATCCACACCCATTCCCCCAATTTTCTCCGTGCCCAAATTCTCTACCCGTGGAATCGGCCTGGCAAACGGGACTTGGGTTTTTTTTTTTTTTTTTTTTTCTTCTTCTTCTTCCTCCTCCTTTTTCTTCTTTCTGGGTTGCAGGGGTTGGATTTGTTTTTTTTTTGGGTTGGGGGGGAGGGGGACGAACTGGGTTGGGGTTTTTCTTCTTCTTCTTCTTCTTCTCCTCCTTCCTTCCTTCCTTCCTTCCTTCATTCTTCTTCTTCTTCTTCTTTTTCAGGGGGGGTTGGGGGTTGATGGGCTTTCAATTTTTTTTTTTTTTTTTTTTTTTCGGTTGAAGGTTAAGCAGGGAAAAAGATGAAGATGGGGAAAGAGAGAAGGGGGATGGGGGTGGAAGGGATGAAAGGTTTTGTTTTTTTGTTTTTAAACTTTCTTTATTATTTTAATATTTAAAAATATTAAATGATTTTTTTTAGTTTTTTTTTAATTTTTTTTTTAATTTTTTTAATAAAAAGTGGGGTATGGATCAAGCCACGTTAGCATTTAATTGACAAATTAACGACAGGCTAATGGAAGGTCTAACATTGACACAAATTCGTAAGATGAGGTATGACATTGTCAATTTTAAAAGATGAGGTATAAAAGTGTCGTAACACCAATAGTTGAGATAGTTTTTTGTACTTTACCCATTTTAAATCTTAAGGGCAATGTGAGAAAATTAATACCTAGTGGTCCATTTTGAAAATCAGGTCAAACATCAAATATAGTTGGTGCTATTATATTTTCAAAACTGATATTAAGGAGACTATTTTTTTAAACCACATTTTGTTAGTTATGTGATGGGCTCCTTTCTCTTTTGCCTGGTGGCCAGTTCTGTTGTGGCCTGATGGTACTATTTAGTCCCACTGGACTATTAATTCAAGCTCTATTTTGTCCAATTGAGCTTTAACTTATTTGCCTGATTGTGCTTTTTTCTTATTTATCCGATTGGGCTATTTACTATTTTGCCCAATTGGAGTTTTTACTATCTTACCCTTGAATAAACAGAAACAAGTAAGATTAAATTGGGTTGTGTAAGAAGAGAAAAATGGCTCATATATAAACATATAAATGAGAGAGAACAGTTTTCAACTGTTCTAGTTGTGGTGATGTTGGCGTCATTGGTGGTGGAAGTGGCGGTGACACATGCAACTCAGTGGAAATAGCGGTGCAACTTTTCCCAAAAGTTGAATTGCTATTTTGTGGTGCGGAATTAGCAGTTTGGGTGTCGGCCGCTACTAGTTTTCGTGAAACTGCAGCAGGCCATCTTTCACTCAAGGTTTTAGGGTTCGCCACCTTGGGGGCTCTATTGTTTGTGCCCATGTGGAGGGTTTGTA